ACTAGATATATATTAGTTACATTTTTCAAAAAACAAAAAAAAAATAAAAATAAAGAAATTTATTACGGATGAAATATTTTTTTAAATTAATACTTACCCTTCAAATCTTTCAATAAAATAATGAAATATTTCACGCCAAACTATTTTAGCCGGTTTACCTATTGCTATTTAATATCAAAAAGGATGATAAATAAGGTAAAGTTTATTATAAATTATAAAATATATAGAGAGAATTATGCATATAACCATGTGGATGTTTAGTCTTTAATATTGGTTGATATTCTATGTAATAATAGAATTAGTGATTTAAAGATAATAAAATAGACCAAATAAGTTAAATTCTAAATTGTTTACTTTGATTATAGATAAGAATCCATTCAGGACCGAGATAGAGACAAATGGGAAATGGAGTATGGAGGCATACATTCTAATATTGACGTATGCGGATTATGTAAAAAAATTTTTTTTTTTGAGAAAATGGATATATATCTGCAAATTATCTGAAAATTACCACGGCATTTTTGAGCGCAGGTTTCCATGAATCCATAGGACCAAGTGATGTCGCCGACCAGTCATAATTATTGACCAAGTCTATGATATTTGAAGCCTCACTCTCGATATTATCACTGTTGTAAATCGGAGATAACGACATAGTATAAAACTATTAGGGATAAAACAATGATCAAGATTAATTCGTTTGATAGTTTGGTTTAAAAATAAACATGCTCACATACTATACATTGATTATTTTTAAGAGAATGATTATAAAATTTTTTACACCATATAGTTATTTTTTGGTGAAGAATAAATATACGAGTGTCGTAAAAGAAATCTCGTATGTTTAATTATAAAGCCTTCTACATATAAAAGAATGCAAACTTTTATAAATTAATAACGATATAAAAAACGCTAATTATTTTGAGTTAGATTTTTCATAGTTGTACGAAAACCTACTTGCAAGAACTAACGGTAGCACATGTATGAAGTGGCTTCACCGCTGCAAAAATTCAAACTAAAGATTATTTTACTTGACCGATTGCTAAAAACAAATAAAATAATGAAATAAACTAAATAAAGTTATAGACTTGGGCAGTTTAAATACATCTATTAACGGTGATCTCTATAACCATCAAATAAGTTAAAGTGAACAAAATATACGCCAATTA